ACCTTTTAACAAAAAGCGATTTCAAGAATCACACTTCATCCCATCCCCATTTTATGTTCCCATTACCGTGGAACAAAACCTTATAGAATTTAAAAAAAGACACTTTGGTTTAATTGGGAAAAGTAACAGAGGATTATTCCTAGAGTCATCCTAGAAACCCACTATTCTATCTCCACCCGAAAAACAAAAAAAAGATAAATCAGAGACCCTGACAGAAGTTGGCACGCTTCCCCACTCCCTGCCACATACACTCGATTACCACCTAAGCTTGGCAGAAGTCCCGGCTCGGCTTGCACTAATCAATGACACTCCAGCAAGAGACGCCTGAATGGGGCATCAGTTCCTGCCTTCCCGGTCCCCATGGGTAGGGCCAGACGTGTTCCTTCGGCTCCTACATTTGCACTAAAACGCAGGGAGCGAAGTACCACCTCCTCCCCTCTCGCTTCATGTCGATGGAGAGAGGGGATTTAGCAGTTGCAAGGGCTCCTCCGAAGGGGAAAGGGCCCCAGGCCGGAGGTTCCGGGTTGGCTCGCCAGCGCCCCCTTTTCCCTTCCTCCTCTCCCCGCCCCTGAAGGCACAGGCCCTCAGGGCCCCGGGGGGGAGCGGGAGGGGGCCTCCGGCCGGCGGTCCCAGCCCGAGGACCCTGCTCTCTCGGGCCCCGGGGGCTGCCGAGGGTGGGGGCCAGGGTGGTCTCTCCGGGCGGGCGCCCCCTGTCCCCGGCCCCTCGGGGGAGTCCCGGCAGCGTCCCCGCCGAGATCGGGGGTGGGTCGGTCCCTGGTTAGCTGGTCCCTCCCTCTTCCCCCTCCCCCTAGTGGTTTCCGGGGCCTGCGGGACCGAGGGGTGGGAATCGGGGACCCGAGACCCTCGCCCCGGCCGGGAGCCGGGCTGGGCCTAGCGCCCCCGGGTCTGTCACCGGCAGGGGAAACTTTCCCCAACCGCACCGAGCTCCAACACCCTCCGCCGCCGCCGCGTCCTCGAATCCCACTCCCACTCCACCTCCTCCAATGCCTTCCCCTCCCACCGACCCGAATCTCGCTGCGTGTGACGGATGGGGCAGGGAGCCAATCGAAGGTGTGGGTAAGCCAATCGCGACGGCCGGAGGAAGGGAGGGGGCGGGGCTTGCGCCGGACCAGTTGGAGCGGAGTTGCACGCGGGCGGGGGAGTCATGGAGACGCCGAGAGCTATCCACTCTCGTCCATCCCTAGTCGCCGGCCCCGCGAGCTGGAGGGTAGTGTCACTCGCAGGGGCTGTGACCCGGGGAGACACGCAGAGGGGCCCGAGATACTTTATTTCTCTGGCACCACGAGAGACGTTGTCTTTAGACACGACGAAGCCTTAAAGCCGCTCACGATGTGGCAGGAACTCCGAGGCCCGTTTCTAAAATGGCATATATTGTCGTGATCGTGTTCTGGACACGAGCTCCCGGTGCACGGGCCGAGGGTCGCAGGAGTTGTCTGTGTACCTCGACCTCAGTGTCACTCAGCTGCTCCGGCGTGGGGACTGTGAGATTTGGAAGGGCACTTTGAAAATGAGTAGAGCCTTCTGTCGATTGATGATTGGGAGAGTAAAGTATCATTGTTTGTAATGGCTTCACTGGTTCCTTTTTAATTAGACCGCCAATTCCCAAAGTGCACTTGAAAGTTCGGCATCTGGGGAGGACATTAAAAAAAAAAAAAGTTGTGGTTTTTCTGGTATGCATCCCCCCCCCCCCCTTTCTTGGGTAAACAAAATGAAATTAGGAACCAAAGCATCTCACTGTTGGAAACATAAAGCGTTGGTATTGAAGGAGCACAGCTAATCAAAGAATATTTATCTGCAGAAAAGAAGTCGGAGTAAAATGTAGTTTGCCAACAACAAAAGATTCTTAAAAATAAACTATTTTAATTTTTCGTAAGCACTGCTAAATTGCCCAGCATGTGGGTACTTTTCTGGCTTATGCAAGGCGAGGAGACATTTTGGTGGGTTTAAGCTGTTGGTTGCCTTCCGTCCAGTGACTTGATCAACTCTTGACTTTTAAGAATAGGGAGGGCAGGTCTTTGGGTTCTCCGTCACGATCACAGGTTGCTCCGAAGGAAAAGCTGTCTTTTAAAAAGACAGCAGCTGTTCCACTGCTTTTTTGTGTGTGAGCTCCTGTTCTTTGTTGGTGAGGTTAGTGCACACAGACAGCAGCAAGGCTGCTTTTCCAACTGGAATTTGCAGAATCTTGAGGAGTTCAAGGAATGAATAATATTAAATTGAGAATGAGTCCATTTTGTGAACAGTATCCAATGAATTTAACTGATCTGGTGAGGGTTTTGTGTGTGTGTGTGTGTGTGTGTGTGTGTGTTTTATGGTATTTTATCTGCATGATATATACCAGTTTCTCTAGCTTTTATTAATATTGGGTTACTAAGAAAGAATAGAGGGGGACTGTAGTTTTAGGGGACTACCACACCCTGCAAATGCGTTCTTTTGTAACGTACCATTTTCAAATTTATAATGTGAGTTTCCAATCCAGTATAATTGTGAGTATTCATTGAGACAAAAATTAATGGCATTTTGCTGTAACCCTTGAGGTGTTATCTTAGTGATAGAATAGTAAAAATTGCCAAGATAAAATAAACAGCTGCCAGAAGTAGGAGGTATTATAAATTAAGCAACATTCAAAATTTGACAACATTCACCCCCTCCCCCCATCATTAGTTAATTTAGTTACTGATGGCCACTCTGACGTGGGCCCTTCTCTCTCTTTTGTATGCTCGAGACCAACACATTGTTTTACTTCATTTTCTGCAACAATCTTTGAAAATGTTCTCCTATTCTTGGTGGCAGAGAGTAGCACGTCCCTGAATGCCTGGCGAGGGGGGAGAAGCCTCTCAAGCATATGGAGACATCTAGAAAAAGATGTGCATCGTCAGCTGTGATTCCATTGTGTGCTCTCAGACTGGATCTGAGCCTCCCTCCTCCTGGGAATTTCAGTCTTACCAGAGGAGTTCTTTGACTTTAGATGTCAGGATACTGAAGCAGAGGGTAGAAAAGAGCTCACCAATTATGAACTTAATATTTTTTAGATAGTTTGGCTCTGATTTTAACCCTTCATTGGTTCAGTATAATTTACATGACTTGTTCAGAGTTAGAGAAGCGTTTTACTGGGAATGTAAATTGTAAGGATTGGAGGGGGACTTGGGCGGTGGTATAAGAGTGCATAAAGGGCTTCATCGGTAGTTATGCCATATTAAAGCTTTCCAAGCCTTAGAATCAAGGACCTGTGAGGAGCAGTGCTTCCATTATACACCCTATATTTAGGATGTATAAGGATTCAGTACCTTAGCTGTTTCAAATCGCATCAGGTTGAAATATGACCCATAAGTTGACAGCTTGGATTTCTTGAAAAAAAAAATTTGTGTTTAAAAATGATTCTTTTAATAACTAGTCCTTAGGACAGTGATGGCGAACCTTTTGAGCTCAGCGTGTCAGCATTTTGAAAAACCCTAACTTAACTATGGTGCCGTGTCACATATAGAAATTTTTTGATCTTTGCAACCATAGTAAAACAAAGGTTTATATTTCTGATATTTATTTTATATATTTAAATGCCATTTAACAAAGAAAAATCAACCAAAAAAACGAGTTCGCGTGTCACCTCTGACACGCGTGTCATAGGTTCACCATCACTGCCTTAGGATGTTGTGTAGCCAAAAAAAAAAAAAAAAAAAAGGGTGTGTGTGTGTCTTTTTAAACAATTTTCCAAGAAGATTAGTTTTCTGAAATGCACAGTGTGTTCTTTTTTGATATTTTCGCCATTATTATATCATGGTTGAAATTATATTTAAAAACATAATGTTTAGCTATTTTTGTGGCAATACTGCTATTTAAGAAATTACTAGCATTTCAGTAGTTTATGTTTATAGTTTTTGGTGATTATGTTATTACATGCTCTATCAATTTTAAATTAAGAGAATAGGAGGGAGAAATAGCCACTATTTTTAAGGTATTGCTCTTTTATTGCAGTAAATCATAAAACAGCAGCAAATCAAGAGCTGTTCTTCTAATGAAATAATCAGACTATATTTATATACCAATAATGAAAGCCATTTAAGAGAAAACAGAACGAAACCCAATTTTTTATATTCTTTCATTACTCAAGCAAATTTTACCTCTATGTCTTGTTTTCTAAACAGAAAAGGTGTTCTTAGCGTTTGTGTTTGTTTTCTTTTTGTTTTAAAGGTTCATAGAAGGGTTTATGAATTGCAAAGTGTAGAAAGAATATTATGTTCTATTACTCTTTAAAGTCTATTAAAAGTAATGTCTGGAAAAGCTATAAAATATAATTTTAGTGTCATAGACCCTCAAACCAGTCCGCATAAAGAAAACATACTTTATGGATTCTAGATACTATTTTCTAAATAGAGGTGAGAATATATGACTTCTGTGGATATTTTTTGAAACTGTTATAAAAACTGAGGCAAATTGGTTATGAAAAGGAGTGGAATTCTTAAAAGTAAACTTGTGAAGAAACTGGTCAGCATGTAGGTCATAATACTCTTGACTTTTAAGGGTAAAGATTTTATGTGTTTTCCCTATAAAACGTTCATCTGACCACATTTCTGGCTTCCAGTGGCTGTAATGACATAATGAAATTGTGGAAACATTGATTCTAGGACAATTTTCAGTTGGTTCTGTAGTTAGAAATTTCTAGAGAAGAATTAAATAAGCAGGGGCCGATGGCAATGTTTTACTTAGCTGCTTTTCAAGGCTTTGGGACATAGAACCTTGATATAAGGCATAGAGGAGAGCTGCTTATAGATAGAGGTTACTAGCAATAGTTCAAGGTTCTGGAAGAAAAGGGCAATCTTCCCTTTGGGTATCAATTGACAGGTACATGGAGAATTGAAGTTAGTAGGTTAATTCTGGCAGAATTTGTCACTTACAGGCAGCCAATCATGAACTGTTAAGAGTTTCTGATGGCCAAGTTAAATCTCACTTTGGGCTTTTTTGATCTGTTTCTTTGAATTCTTGCCTCATTTAACCATTGTTTTAATTTGTTTAGTTATTTATTTGATGAGTATTTGAGTCTTCCAGCATTGGGAGTTTACTTTGATATGTCAACTGATGGTGTTGGTGCCAATTCAACACCAATAGGAATCCCCAATTTGAGGTGTGGTGAAGGATACTTCACTCAGTGCACACAGCTCAATTGTGAGGCAATCCTGGTCTGCTCCAATCTGCTCTGGGAGCCAGAGGAGCACTGACTTACATAAAGATAAGTCCTTGCCCTTGGTCCCTGATTGGTCAGTCCTTATACAAATGAGGACTCCAAATCATTAAGTTTGATTGGTCTAAAAGCCACTGACCTGATTGGTCAGAGTGCAACTGCTCTGATTGTTTAGTGAAAATGCTGATGGGATACCGCTGACATGCACAGCTCTGATAGGTCAGGGAAAGCATCAGTTCTATTGGTTGAAATACAATTCCAGAAAATCTTTTATAGGGCTGGCTCATATGGCACCAACACGACGCAGGCAGGCAATTCAGTGCAGGTTTCTCCCTGAAACATTGCTTGAGTGAGAGGCACCTGTCTAGAAATGGCTGCTAGGCTCTGTGTTTTTTTTTAAATTTGAGTCCAGTGCCGCCAGAATTTCTCCTTAGTAACTTTCTTCTTTCTCAGGTTCCATAGAAAGTATAAACCATCCATTTCAAGTTCGGTGCTTAAATGAAGAACTTAGAGTGGGCGGGTTTTTTTTGTTTTGTTTTTTTTTTGGTTGGGGAGAAGGTAGAAAGGGACATGTTCACCTTAATTTTCAACTTGCTTTGATGCTAAAGATTGGGGGGTGTGTGTGTGTGTGTGTGTGTGTGTATAATTTTAATTATATAATGTCAGAAAACTGCTTTGATCTGGGTTTGGGTGTTTCCCCCTGAAAATAGGATTCTAATGGTTATGTCCTCTGAAATCATGTGTGGTCAGGATGCCAATCTGTAGTTGGTTGAAGGTCACATCAGGGACCTCCCATTTCTGTGGGTTATCTGTGCATTGTTCCTGCTTTAAGACTAACATATCTTAGGCCTTCCCATCTTAGGTTTGTAAAGGATGGAAAACT